TATGCGGAGGACAAGGCGGAGGCGCGATTCACAGGTCAACGAGCCTTGACAGAAAATGTTTTGGACTTTACGCAAAAGTCGAAAACTTTTTCCTTCAGATTCATGAAATCCGGCAACATTAATCTTATGGTATCTATCAAAATATGATGGAGAAAATATTAGTGGGTTATTTAGTTTGTTTAAAATAAAAGGTAATGTAAAAGATTTATAAAATATTATGATTAAAATGTATTAAAATTATTTTGGAATTGTTTAGTTCAACGTAGAATAAATGTAGAGTTTTATATTTTTTTGGTCAGTAGTAGAAGCGGCTATGTGGGCAACGTGGCAGATGGCCGACGGCGGCAATGGCAACCAAATGCAATGGCGAATTGCGGCTGCGACGGGATGCAGTTGGTACTAGTGTCGGTCGGCTACTGCGTGGCAGATGGCCAATGGGTAAAGTGACGGCGGCAACGGCAACCAAATGCAATGGCGAATTGCGGTTGCTACGGGATGCAGTTGGTACTAGTGTCGGTCGGCTACTGTGCCTGGCGGGCAGCGGTAGGCTGCAACATGCTGATAAGATTTTATATGAATGTCGTAATTCAAATTAAGCTAAAAGGCCGAATTCTAAATTCAACTAAAATGAACTGCATAATCAACACATAATTTTTTCAAATTCCTACAAAAAAAATTGTAGTACGTCAATACACTGAAACTTCACACTAATAAACAACTGATACGTCCTGATGACGGACGAGCGGATGAAAGTGTGGATTGCACCACGCCATCGAACTCACGATGTGGCACAATCCATATAGTTCAAGTTAATCGGGCGAATTTTATTTTCTAAAATGTGACAGTTTATTTCATATTTTGCTAGTGCAAATCATGAGTTTTTAATCTATCAATAAGTTAGCTTAAGAGATATGATGGTCCATTATGAATTTTATAGATGAGAAGCCGGTTACATGCTCTTTCATTAATTGGATCATGAAATTATCTTGGATTGAAGGGCATTTTTGTGCAATAAAAAGCCCAAAAGATTAATTTTTAAAATCGATCTAATTAAATAAGATTTAATATAAGAGTATTTATTAATCCTAAATTCAAAAACAGCAAATTTGACTTTTCAAAAGCTGATTTTGACAAAATTGACTATTGGAAAATCGATTTTGGGCTATTTAATTATTTTATAATTTTGACACTTGGTGAAGATAAGAAGAGCCAATTATTATTATTTGTGTTATTATTTTATAATTATTATTCTTAATTTTGTTTCTATTATATCTTTTGTTGTTATTATTATTATTATTGTTATTATTATTATTTGTTGAGTTCAAAATTATTCAGGAATAAAGTGTTTTACACTAAATAGAAATAAAGAGCGTACTATAATGATTAATATGTGCTTAACATTTATTCGATAAATAATCCCCTATTTATAGATATAAGAGGTACAATTATGAGATTACATTTTTGACTTTACTCAACTAGAATAATGAGAGCTGTTTTATTATTTTAAATATACTAGACCACTGTTTTTGGAGTTCCTTTTGGAGGAGTTTTGAACCTTAGGTCCAACTGACCGATCAGACCGATGAAACCCTAGGTTTCCAGGGAAAGTGAGTTGAGAGTAATGGTTTTCGACTGGTTCGGAATCCATCGGGCCAAGTTCACTCTCTTGATCCTAGCGAATCAGTGTGGATCGACTACTCTACTGATCGTTTTTTTCTATTTGCTAGACTTCTTCATCGGACCGTCCTCAAGTTTCGTGCTGACATTGCTGGTCTACGGTATTATTTTTTTATCTTTTTACTATTATTATTATTATTATTATTATTATTATTATTATTATTATTATTATTATTATTATTATTATTATTTATGCTATTAATATTGTTGAGACATTTGATTTAACCACAAGTATGTCAGATTCATAATCTGTTTGACCTTTCAATTATGCACTGAAAGCTTCCAAAGTAGTTTAATGGCTTGAGCTAGGTTTGATTTAACTCGAATTGAACCAATTTTGGTACAGTTGGGTCCGCCTCATTGAGCCAGTCAATTTGACTGCTGATTTGTTGAAATCTGAGCTCCGAATGACTTTTAATCTGTTTGAATTTTACTTGCTCAAAAATAACCTTATGATTAACGTCATGTTTCAAGATTTGTGTCGGATGATAAAAAATTATCATTAATAATAATAATAGTAACATTAAGGTGAACTAAATGTATTCCTCATAGGGTGGTAAATTATAATATTTGCTTCATTTTAACTCTTATTAGAGGCCTCTACCGAATCTGTTTAAGTTGTTCCTCTTGCTTTCAAGTTTATTTTTTGACTTTGGCATTTGATTACATCTTTGATCCTCACATGCCCATATTAGGAATCATATCTTCAAAAAAATCAGAACATATCATTATATGATAAAACATAGTGCTTTAAGAAAGTAGGGGTGTGTGATATAAAATTTTTTGATGAGTTTTATTAGAATGCATCAGAACTATTGAGAACTAGCCAAGCCAATCTTGAATACTTGAAATAAATTTGGATTGTCTAGCTTTAAATATCACGGTGATTGCAAGCTCTACAATTTTCAAGTTCAACTATCAATTCATTTTGGATACTTGAGTTTAGCTGTATTATTATCTCAAAATCAACATATGAAACATATTTATAAAGGTTGACATCTCTTATAGTGTTTCAGCTAAACATATGTTGTCATAAAGCCTATATGTCATCGATAGAGCCTATATTAGGTATCCAGAACCTTAGATCAGTTTAACTAACCATTTGACATAATATCAACCAATGTTAACATCCATATTATCTAGAGTTATAATAAGCCCTTGGAGTCTAACCAAATGTCCTTGCATATTTGGGATCAGATAGGTTTGTACGAATTGAAGTCTAGTCCCACATTACGCATGTTTGTAGTCAAGATGTGGTTTCTAACGTGCACATGATAATTCAACATATTAAAAGAAGTAAAAGTGGTGTAGATTGAACACAGCATTCATAAGAATTGATCCAGAGCATCATTCTTTGCTCGCTTTGTATAATTGTTCACTTTAGAATTGAATTTCACAAATACTATTATTACTCTCATCACATATAATCTTCTTTGGAGGGGTTAGGATGTTTCTATTGTGCAAAGTGAGAATAGCTTCGTAGCTCGCTCACCTAGCAAAATCATGAGTTGTGAAATAGCTGAAGTTTTATAGTTAGCCCATTCTATAACATCATGGAGAGTTTACTTTTTTGAGATCCGAAGGTGAAGCTCCCCACATGTCTCACCAAAGTAGAATGCCGCACATCCAAGCGTCAAACCCTATGTGTCCAAGTGAGGATGTTAGCACAAGTATGGCTTGTTATCGAGCATGATCGTTTGCTTTGAATTGTGTCAAGTGTCTTGTTTTAAGCATGTTGCACTCTACCACAGAAATTTCTAAAATGCTGTAAGAAAGTAGTTCTCCGAATAGAACTGTGGTAGTGGCCTGAAAATCAAAGCAGACAGCAAGCTATCTCAAACAGACCTTAACACTGTGGCAACTTTGGTAGAAATGAGATATGAGAGGAGTCCACGGTATGTAGGGCTGTCAAAACGGCTCGATGTTCGCGAACAGCTCGTGTTCAGCTCGTTAAGAAGCTCATGTTCGGTGCGTTCACTAAGTTAACGAGCCGAACACGAACAATACAAACAAATATTTGTTCGTTCGTGTTCGGCTCATTTTGACTCTAAATACTACTAATCAATTATATATATATATATATATCTTTGATGAGTAGTCTTTTTTAAAAATTTAATTGACTACAAGGCTATAAAGATTTATAATCAATTAAAATTATTAATGAAGAAAATAAAATAAAAATTATTAAATTTGATTCAAATGATGTTTTAAATCTTGCCTCAATCCTTAACATCTTATGGCTACGTGAT